TACATTTAACGTTTTACTTTTGAAAGCACGCTTTTTGAAATATTAATGCTAAATCTTGTCAAACAAGGATGTTGCATTAACATTCTTAAGTGAGTCACCTTCATAGCCTGCTGCTGCCCGCTATCTTTCTTTTTTTTTTTTTCTCCCCTATGCTTGTGTTTTGTTTTTCCAAAGCACGTACGGTATGGCAGGATTAAAATGGCATCTCAAGAGCTCCATTTCAAAAATACTGTACTGCACTGATACAGAAATAACACCTCGGCAGAGAGGATACAAACAATAATAAAGCACAAAACACAACAGGCAAATAAAGATTTCAGCAAAGCAAATGTATAAATCAAGTTGTTTTTAGCTTTGTGAAGTGATATGAAAGTGTGACATTTGTTTCTTTCCAGCATGGATGCATATAGCAATCTACTGTTATATACAGTATATAATTAAAGTTTAAACTTGCCTAACCTGAAATAATACTACAGGTCTGTCAGTCAGTACTAATGAAATATTAATTTAAATAATAATAGTATAAATAATTTCTCAAGTAACCAACATTATATTCCGCTAGCAATTTAAAGGACATTGGTTGTGGTTTTGTATTGTCACTAGATTCTCATGTGTGCATGTGGAGGGTGAACAATGTTACATCCCTAACCCAGATATCATATAAAATACATTGCATCCAGCCGGTTAGCTCAGCTTCACAGATCCGAGCATAAAAGCTATTTGTCGTGTTTACATTTAGATTTTTGTCAGGTTTTAACAAATGAGATATAACATATGAATTAGTGCACTTCAGAAGCTGGTTGGCGGATTTTGTTACTGTTGGACAGAGCAGAGCAAACTGTTTCCACCTGTTTTCAGACTTTATGATAAGCTAAGCTAACCAACTGCTGGCTCCACCTTGGTACTGTTCGGATGGATATGGGAGTGGTATTAATCTTCTCATCGAATTCTTGGCAATAAAGCAAGTAAATGTATTTCCCAAAAAAAATGAACTATTGTCTAAGATTTGGAATGGAGACAGACTTGCAATAAGTCATGAAAATGAGAATGTGAAACTTTCATTTTGTTTCACTGCATTATTCAGTCTTATATAGACTTCATATTAGCAGTAGTGGGTGTTGAGTGACGTATCCACCCTGCCCACTATAATATAAAGTTTTCTCACTGCACTCAAAGAAATATGCCGTTTTCAGAGTTCCTTCTGTAGGCTGACCTAAAACAACTTATATAATTGTATCGATCTCATTCACGCTTGACGCCATTTTTTCCGTCTTAATTCTTCTGGTCTGCAGAGCTCAGATTGGCTGTCAGCTGTCACTGAACACTAGACCAAATCTATATGAACAGTTAAAAAAAGAGAGCTGTGAGCAAAGAGTCAGAGATCTGGAGCCAGGCTACGATTCTGAAGTTGCAGAAAATAACAGTAATACAGTAACACCACATCAAACCTTCAGTTATGTCTGTGTGTCTCTGTCTTTCTGTCTACCTCTTCACGGATGTGTAAAGTATAAATGTGTGTGACCTATCCTGAATATGTCCAATATTACAACCTAATGCAGAAGTAATACATTAACTGCAGCAGTGAAAATCAGATTTGTAGTACCAATGGCTCCTATGGTTCCCTGAGCAGCTGTAAAACTGTACTGGAGAAGAATTACCATGTAACCTGTTCCACACACACACACACACACACACACACACACACACACACACACACACACACACACACACACACACACACACACACACACACACACACACACACCCTTCCCTACATATTAATGTGTTTTGTGCATGTGTGTTTGTCGTGTACACAACCTCTGAACACTTTTAATGGTTCCCAAAACACACACATATTCCCCCCAAACAACCAGTGCTTTTTAACGGATTACACTTTTCTAAATAATTACATCCGCCCGTGTTAAATTGTTCCAGAGGCTGAATGGAGGGGGAGCTAAAATAACTAAAGCAACTAAATGATGGATGATGGTGTTGGCAAAATATGTTCACATAAGTTCAAACCCAGAAAGGATGAATAGATGTGGAAAGCAAAGAAATGTGAAGAAATATGGCAGCATGTCTGTGAGTGTGTACGCATGTCAGCATATGTGCCTGAGTGTTTGTGTGTGTGAATAAGAGAGGGACTCTTATGTGTGGCATGTGCAACTAAAAGGTGAAATAAGCCATTTAATATGATTTCAGAAGTCAGATAGTCAGCCTGTCACTCCAAATTACTCACTCTCAAACACACAGGCACATGTATGCAAACACACACACACACTGCCCGTACACACTTCCTCACCTGTTCCTTCAGTCTAAATGACATGATCAAGTCATAAACAAAAGGAAAACACGACATATGCCTCATTAAGAAAACATGAGAGACAACTTTCAAATACTTCCACTTACAGAAAGCCCCCACACACACACACACACACACACACACACACACACACACACACACACACACACACACACACACACACAGGCAAAGCCCCCATTTTGAACCAGACATTGAAAGTACTGTTGTGGCTATTTCAAGTTGGACTAAAGCATCTCTCGTTTCACATCAAAGCCAAAGCACTTGGATGTGAAAAGAGAGGATGCGATAATGACAGAGGGAGAAAGAGGAATATGTAAGAGAGGGTAGCATGTGAGTTTGTGTGTGTGTGTGTGTGTGAGAGAGTGAGAGAGAGAGTGCGAGAGAGAGAGAGATAACAGCAACTTTAAAACAACCATGAAAGATTGATGTGTTGCTAATTCAGCTGCCAGGGGCTCCTCTGGCCATCAAACCGCCCTGAAACCATGTTCCACTGCACCGTAAATACAATTGGCACGCACGCACACACACACACACACACACACACACACACACACACACACACACACACACACACACGAAGAACGAATGAATTACTGAGGACAATTTTTTTAAACCTCAAATTAGGCAGAGAAAAGACTATGTACGTTTGTAGCACATTTCAATTTGTTTTCATACAAAGCATCACATTGCTTCACTTCACTTCACATCACATCGAAACACTTAAAGGAATAGTTTGACATTTTGTGAAATAAGCTTTCGTCACTTTCTTGCTGAGAACTAGATCACGAGTTTAATACCTCTCTCATGCCTGGATGGTTAATTTGTAGCTACAGCCAGCAGCCAGTTAACTCAGCTTAGTATAACGAAAGAAAAAGTTTAGCTGCATCTCCCAATATAATATTAACAATAGAGAAAACAACTTCAACAAAGAACAAAATTGTGCATCGGTAACAACTTCTGGTAAGGAGTAGGACAGACGACCTCTGTTCACTCTCTTCTTGCTCACCGTCATCACCTATGTTGCATTTTAATGCAACTCAACTCATCATTACATAATTTCTGTTATATAACAACTGAAAAAGCATAAATTTATTTCTGACTCATAAATGTTACCTGTTAAAGTTACCCCAAGGCAAACACATACTGCAGTTATCCACTGCTGCACTGCGATGCAGGTCAAATTGCTGTTTTATGATTGCAAAGTCGTCTAACGACATAAATGCAGCTTCAAAGAGCTGTGTTGTGTGATTGGCTGTGATGACATTTCAAATGAGCAATCACAGAGAAAATTAGACGCAACAAAAACTTGTTTGCCAAAATCTAAACTTTCCTGATTCACACTAAAACAATTTATCCACTGTGAAGGCCAAAAGAGAAAATAACTCAATCTATCTAGCTTAATATGCACGTAGTCCGAGAGGAAGACAGAAATGAAGGACCAGTAGGAAGACAAGGGAAAAAATGAAAGACGAGGATGTGAGCGAGAACATTTTGAAAACTCTCAGCAATTGACCGCTAACCCCTTTTCTAATAACTTATTGTGTCTATCCAGCGCTCTGTTATAACACAGCACATAGTGCAGTTTAAAAGTGGCAAATTTATGACTTGTAATTTTTTTTTTTTTTGTAATGTGCTCAGACGGAGGTACGCTAAAGGCTTCTCGTTTCTAGCTAGAAACATAAAACAAATGATCTGCATCTATTTTGTTAATTGTTTAATGGTTTTAGTACTTTACCAAGCAATAACACCAAAGATTTGGTGGTTTCAACTTCATAAATGTGAATATTTGCTGCTTTTCTTTGTCATACATTATTGCAGAGTCATGAGTCTCTATGGATTTTGGACTTTTGGTCAGACCTATAGGCAATTTTAAAATATCATCATGGACTCTGAAAAATTTAGAATGGCAGTTTCACTACATTTTGATATTTAATGGATCAGTGATGACTGATTGACTGATTAATCAATGAATGAAAATAATCTTTAGTTGCAGCCCTGCTGGCAGATTTTATAAGTTGTAGGTCACTAGCTAATTACTGTGAGCTAACAATGAATAAGAGCAGACTCCATCAATTTTTTTATATGTTTCCAGCTGCTATAATTGGCTTACACAAAGTGGGGATATATTATAGTTGGTAATAAGCTAGTTAACCTGGCGTGCTAACATTTGCATTAAAATGGACAAAGTTCAATTCATTCCTTACACTTTTCTCTTGTGTTTTTAGTTGCTCCAGCCCCATGCACAACACTTTGATAAGTTGAGAAATCCACAGGTTGATAGGCCTGCTGTGCCCTGATTGGACAATTACATCATCTGAGGACAAACACAATCCCTGGAGAAATTTAATAATTTTGGTGATCCTCTAACTTTTCAAGCTTCGAAAACTGTTGTTATGTTCTGACCTTTACAACATATGGGTAAGTCAAGATGAGAATATGAATAAATAATATGCATAAATAATCTCAAACAGAAGGTGACTCATGCGTGAAGGATTCGGTCCCGTCTTTTCTAAAAGGGTGTTTAGGTCTATTTTATTGCCTCTGTGTTTCTACGGTGTGTGTGTGTGTGTGTCTTTTTCCATCTACTTCCACCTGTTCCAAGGTCCCTGTTTTCTATTATTAAATATACAAGTACATAAATAATAAGTAGGAAGAAACGTTTAAAATGTATCACGTCAAACCATTTTAATTTATTATAACTTCAAATAAGCTGCATTCTTTCAGAAAAGTCATGTACTGAAAGCAGCAGAACCTCTGCATTTACACAAGCAACCCTGTGATTTCAAGGGAGGATGGAAGTAGGACATCACAAGTGCACGTGCTTCCTTATTATCGAGATACAAATATGCAAGATATGAATATGCCGTTTACACACACACAGACATAACCACACACACACGCACACACACGCACACAGACATAACCACACACAATAAACCAACATGCCTGCACCATCAGTTGGTCTGGTATGCCATATCCTGTCAAGCATCCCCCTCTAGTGTTACACTAATAAAATGCAGTGACAGTTTTTCTGTTAGTTGATCTGACAAAATGATAAAAAATCACATTCAACCAGTAAACTTGCAGACCAAGTTCTGGCATATCAGTTAAGAACGAAATGAAATGAAAGTAGATAAGGAAAGAGAGAACTATGAGAAAGAATGGAAACCTGCCTGTACAAGCTGAGTTCAGTATGAGTCATGCAGTGTGGGGGTATCACTGCTGACAGGGAAATATAAGGAATAAAACAAGTATACTCTATATATTGAAAAGAAATGTAAAAATTGTAGAATAAATTGCATCACTTTTCAAAACCATGTAACAAAACTTTACATGCAAAAAACAAACTCTACAGTCTGTGGAAAAAACTAATCAAAAAAAGTGATGTCGACATTTCTGTGATAAAAAGAACTTCCATTAAGAGTTGTGTCTCTAGGTATATTGCAATATCACTTTACCTATGCACATACAAAGATCACAAGTTCATTGCCAAAATGAGCAATTTACTGCTGCCTTGTCTTGGCCACAAAACCTTCTGCTGCCTCTGCTGAGGTGTCTGACTCAAGTTGACAGCTGACGCCTATTTCAGTTGCAGTTCAGTTGCAGAGGAAGTAAGTCAGGCGCAGTCGCTCACCTAAGTGGTTTTGACACATTGCAATAGAAAGTAAGCGCAAAACCTCCAGCAGTTCAAAATTCATTTTCCATTACAGCACCACAATTAAAAAGTCCAACAAATAAAAGTACAAAGAAGAATGAACTATATGGTAAACTATGACAACAACAATAAAATAAACATAAAAATGAATATATATACCGCTCTAACACTCATTTTAAATACTTTTCGTTTAAGCAATAAATTTAAACACAATTTACAATCCATTAAGGCCATCTTTTTGAGTTCTCGATGATTCTGAGCCCCATAATGTAGTCCGGTCAATTTCATTTTGAGTTTTGTTGTTTTTTACTTCTGCTGTGAAGTTCGTGTTATATTCACTGTATGTTTCTGTATACGTGTTTAAGTTGTTTTTATATTGATTATCTTCGAAGATTTTCTTACACCAAACTGTGTGATTGAGCTCATTAGAGCTTTGTGGTGCAACAGACTTTTGAGCATATCATTTATTAGCTAAGTTCACTGGTTTAGTAGTTTAGTCCAGTGAGATGGATTTTTTAATAAAAAAATTACAAATGTGACTGTGTACTATTTACAATAATGCATGACAACGAGGACAGTTAAATTTGATTTTCTAGAAGAAACTGAGTACTTTTACCATTCCTGTATTTTACAGTCATTTGATTTATTGTGGGCCATATTTCAGCAGTGCTTCTCCTCTCTGATTTTGCTCAATGGCAGGACAAATCCTGCACCACTGTATATTGTACCACAGTACTCTGATGGATGTACTTCCTGGCCCCTGTTTATTACAACACTTTATTTCCTAGACATACTATATTCTTATGTATTTAGTTTCTATATACGTTTTCCATTTAGTCCTGCAGCAACTAATGTGTAGATTAGTGACATGTATTGTATGACTGTCTTTGCATGTAGCCATCAGGTCAGGATGACTATTTCATAAACATTTCTGGTTACTGTATTTTACAGAGGTAAATTGATCCATATGCTAGACTGAAACCAGGATGGAGTGGTTCAGTGAAAGTTGTGCAGGTAGTGTGCAGGTGAATCAGTCTATCAGGAAACAGCTGAAAAAAGGACAAAATACCTGCTGGCCAGTCCAGAAACACTCCTATGGTATCCGACTTTGTAGAACGGTTGATAAAGTTTAGACAGGAATTGTTATGATGAAATGAACCTTCACTTAACCAGCACCAGGACTTTTCATTTCGTCCAAAAGATGTTTCACTTGAAAAGTCTGCCACCCTGTCAATACTTTTGTATGCCACTCCAACATTAGCTGAGTTGCACTCAACCTCCCAGTAATGGCGACCTGTCAAACCCTCTTCACACAGCACCTGAAAACTGGTACATCTGTCTGGATGGTCAGGATATGGCTGCTTCTCGCCAACATGTGACGCCTTTTTGTTCTCTTCTGTCAAAATTAGATTCACGTCTGCTGTGTTGATGTCCAGAGTCAAATCACAGGCATCTGCAATCAAGACAGAGGAAACGATTACTTAGTTCCGTAGTACCACTGTGTGAGTGTGGTTCTTGACCTCTGGTTGTTTTTGTCAAATCTTCTATCGTCAAATTAGGGATACATCAGCATTTATGTAAAACCACTATATGGTCAAATCGTATGGTCAAATCCTGATTTTATAACTGCAACGTCGTCTGACAAAATCACCAAACTTATAAGTTAAAGACAAAGACTGTGCAGTGATTTCAGCTATTTATTACATAAAATGATCATTCAGAGAAAAAGTTATAAGAAGCAAAATTTTACTTTATTCATTTGTGCTTTTGGTCGTAACACCTTGCTGACTGAGAACAGCGAAGGGAAGTAAGGGGTGGTTGTGGCCAACGAAGCATTTGTTTTAGTCTGAAATGCTGGTGGTCTAATGCGACAACTAGTGGCAGTGATGATTTCTTACAGAACCTATAAAGCTTGCTATCTATTTCAACTGTTTATACATTACTTTTAGCTAACAATTCTAACCTTTTTTTTTTTTTTTTTTTAAAAAACGATTTATTTCAAAATCTAATTTTCATTTTTATTTTTACATACTGCAACATGCATCGCAGCTTTGAAATTTCATTAAAAACAATCCTATTCTTACACTGTCTCAGTAGCTTCCAGTCGAACCAGTATTCTTCATTTTGGTCCACACTAATGGGAAATAGAGGGACAGAAGGTGAAGATAAAAGTACTGTAACATATGCACCTCAAATCAAATGAATAAAGTGAATCTTGCAAACGAGTCTTAGAATAATGATGAAAACTGTGCTGGTTGGAGCATACTTGAGTTTCTCCAGACTGCAGCGTGAATCCCTCTGTATTTCAGTCAGCAGCTTGGCTCCTTGATCTGTGAGGTGATTAAAGCTCAGGTCCAGCTCCCTGAGGCTGCAGTGGTCCGACCTCAGAGCCGAGGCCAGAGAGGCACATCCATCTCCTGTCACTTTACAGAATGACAGCCTACAGAAATCAAACAACTGACATTTTAGGCGTGTGGTAGATGCCCTTATCAGCAGAAATTTTCACTTGTTAACATGACATGAGCCCCATTTGATTAGTCATTTATCAGGCTCTCCCTTTGGAGGTGCTGACATAAAGCACCATATATCCCACAAGCTGACATTTTGAGAGACAGAGGCAGACCAAATGAATCACAGTGTCTGAAGCAAAGCACATTTATGCCAGCATTATTATATCTTTTGATATATAATGCTGATAATTTCCTGAAGCGACTAAAACAATTAAATCATCTTGTTAGTGTAACTTAATTACTCCAAGACAGAAAACACATTTCCACATTGTCATAATACCATATACATGAACCTTTTCAGCTTTTATAAATAAAGACAACTTGCTGGACACAGTTAAATCAGTTTTAGAGGTAAATATGTCTGTGACATGTCACACACACACACATGTATTTACTCCATCCGCATTAGTAAATAGATGGAGTGGACAAAATATTAGAAACCCTTCTGAGTCTGACACAGTTCAATTCAACAACTCCAACTCTGAATTAACAACTTAAAACAGATAAACAAAACATTGTATGAAAGACTAAAACTTTTATGTTGGTGTATTGCAATAGGCTGAATCCAGATATACATGTATTTGTAATACTAATTAGTTAAGCCAAGTACATTTGGAGCTATTTGTTACACTGACCTTAGCGTTTTCAAACCACAGAGTGGTTTCATCAGTGCATTACAGAGTGCCGTCACTCCTGAGTCCTGCAGGTCATTGTAGCTCAGGTCAACCTCTCTCAAGCGTGAAGTCTTAGAGTCGAGTGCTGAGGCCAACGTCTGACAGCCTTTCTCACAGAGTTTGTTGTGACTGAGACTGAATGACACACGTAGGAATATAATTTAATTGCTTAACATCATACAGAATATTTGATTGTTTACTTAGTGTTGCATATTGTTTTTTATTGCATATGTACATACATACACACACACATATGTGTGTGTTTGTGTGTAACATATATGCAGTTCAATGTAATATAGTTCTTTACCTCAATACCTCCAGTGTACAGTGCATGCTCATCAACGCTGCTGAGAGGATCTCCATTTCTGAGTCTTCAAAATCATTGTAACTTAGGTCCAGTTCTCGCAGGTAGCATGGGTTGGATGTGAATCTCGTCACTATCTCCTTACAGATGTTTGTAATCCCAAAATTTCGGTTCAGTCTTTTGGTATACAGATGATAAAAATGACATTTAATTAGAAATATATACATAGATTATATTGAACAGTTCTACCAATCTGACTTGTGTTCTAAAACAATGTCGGCTATAGGCTGCATTCAAGTGCACAGTGGGGTGTATAACAAACAATTTTACATTGCATATTCAGTCTTAATAAAGTAAATACTGATTTCAGTAATAGAACTTGAATGATAATGATACATCTATTAATATCAATAATAATAATAATAATAATAATCATGAATAATCATTCAGAGACAGCTGAGCTGGCTGTTTTAACAGGACAACTACTCCTACGATGTGGATGAATCTTTGAAAAACATACAATATGTATCATTTCTGCCATGACAATTCTGCCCAAGAAATCAGATGTAGAACCTTTTGTTTACAATTAATACTTGAGTGTTAAGGGGAGTAATATGTCTGAGACTGACCTGAGCTTCTCCAGCTTTGGTTGGCAAAGCCCAACAGAAACCACAGAGTATAATGAAGAGCCACACAGGATGTTGTTACTCAGCTCCAGTTCTCTTAGATTTGAGATGACTGATTTGATAGCTGATGCCAACTTTTCACGCTCTACATCTGTATGGTCGTCACCTGAAAGACTACAAACACAGAGGACAAAAAGCAGCTCAACAGACCTAACAACATTGCAGTCCCTAAGGCCCTCTTGCTGATAGTATAGCAAACAGTTGGCAACAATGAGTGGTTAGTAAATGTTCCATATATTGGGGCTCATCTTCAGCTGGCTGGCTGATGCTTTTCAACTTATCAAACCTCTAGGAAGAGAGGTTAAGCCAATATGAGTTGTTTTTAAAGAACTTGAAATATATCACACTAAGGCTTAACTATAAAAAAAAAAGAAGAAGAACAAAAACAAACACAAACACATCAAAAATAATATTTTTACTTACCTAAGTGCTTCTAGTTTAGCCTGAGAGTTCATCAGGGCATCACTCAAGATGCTTATGCTTTGCCCCCAAACAGTATTATTCATCAGGTGCAGTTCAGTCAGCACAGAGTTTGGCATCCGAAGAGCTGAGGCGATTGTCTCAGAAAGCCAATTATCGAGAGACACTCCTGAGATCCTGCAGATATTAAAAAGACAATTATGCAAGGTTACATACAGTTTTTGATGCATACAAGCAATTTATGCTGGCAGTATACTGTGTATTTGGGATTAAAAACTTTAATTGTTTATTTTTCACTGTTAAATGAGTGACAACAAAGTGATTGAACGCAATGCAGACAGCCTACATAAACACCACCATTTAAGTAACCAACTCACCTTGCTTTTCTGCAGTTCCTCACAGCTGGGAGAAGCCTAAAAATACCTTTTGCTGATGGTCTGTATTTCTTCAGGTTGAATTCATCTAGAGGCGTCCTTGACATCAGAATTGAGTCGGCCACAACTGAGCACTGAACAGGGGAGAGCTGTCTTTCTGGACTAGGATTTGGTTGAAGATACTGCTTCACACTATCATGTAGGGAACAGTCTTTCAGCTCAATCAGGCAGTGGACAAGGTTCAGGCATCTTTCAGGTGAGCAGTCCGCTAAATCTATTTCTAATAGACTTTTCCTAACTTCCTCAACAACTGCAGAGTGTTCATCTGTCTGTTGAATCAGGCCTTGAAGCAGCTCTTGTGTTGATTGAAGAGACATGCCAATGAGGAACCTAAGGAACATGTCCATTTCGCCTTTCTTTCTCAGAGTTGCGTTAGCTATTGTGATTTCGATCAGCTCATCCAAAGGTAGATCCACTGGATCTGCATCTAAGATTGGCTTCAACTCTTCCTCAGACTCTTTAAGCAGGAAATCCTTGAGGCTTTGAGAATCAATTTTTTTACTTGCAAAAGTGCGATACACAAAGAGAGCAGCAAAATACTCCTGAACTGTCAGATGCACAAAGCAGTAGAGTTTCTTTCTGTTGAATGCACTCTCTTCTTTGAATACCTCCGTGCACAACCCACAATGCACTCCAGCTTTGTCTATGGCAATGCCATATTTTTTCAGATCATCGACAGTGAATATGATTTTGCTTTCTGTCAGATATTCAAATGCCATCCTGCCTAATTTGAAAATGAATTCTTCATTTGATCTGAAGATCTCCTCTGTGTCTGACTCATCAAGGGTGTCATACTTTTCAGTAGCTACCTGCATCTGAATTGTAAGGAAGTGTGTGTACATCTCAGTAAGTGTAGTGGGTATCTTTATGTTTTCATCTTGAATGTTGCCCTCTTTTAGCAGCAGATGCTCAAAAACCTTTGCTGTAATCCAACAGAAGATAGGTATGTGACACATAATGTATAAGCTCCGTGACTTTGTAATATAGTTAATGATTTGTTCAGCAACTGCCACGTCCTCAATTCTCTTCTTGAAGTACTCGATTTTTTGTGGATCATTAAATCCTCTGACTTCAGTCCACTGGTACACATACTGAGAAGGGATACGCTGAACCGCTCCTGGTCTTGAGGTTATCCAGAGAAGTGCTGAGGGAAGAAGGTGTTCCCGAATGAGGTTGGTCACCAGAGTGTCCACCGATGATTCTTCAGTCTCATTTGTCAATCTTGTGGCTCTTTTGAAATCCAGCTGAAGTTGGCTTTCATCGAGACCGTCAAAAACGAACAAAACTTTGCAATTATTAAATATTCTTGCAACTGCTATGTTTTTCATTTCTGGGTGAAATTCCCTCACAAGTGTCACAAGGCTAAATTTCCTATCTAAGACCAGATTTAGCTCCCTGAATGGTAGTACAAAGATGAAGTCCATGTCCGGATTGGCTGTCCCATCTGCCCAGTCAAGGATGAACTTCTTCACGGAGACAGTTTTTCCAATGCCAGCGATTCCTTTTGTCATCACAGTTCTGAAAGCTCTCCTTTCTCTTCTGTCCTGCCCAGATGAAACACTATCTTGTGATTTACTTTTAAAGATGTCGTTGCAGTTGATTTTTGTGCCCTGAGCTGTTTGAATCCATGTTTTCTCTTCAATCTCCCAGATCTCATGTTCTGCGTTGACACGTCCACTATCTCCCTGTATAATGTGAAGCTCTGTGTAAATTTTGTCCAACGATTTTTCATGCTCATGATTTTTTTCAGTGCCTTCAGACTCATAGCTAAACTTTTTCCTCAGATATGCTTTGTGCTTTTTGATGACTTCTCTGACGCCATCTTCTGCTACAATTAAAGAGTTACAAAAACAGTGATGTCAAAGCAGAATCAAAGACGTTTCCTGAGAAATGCAGCAATATTTTGAACTGTGTATTCCATATGAAGCTGTTAATGTATTAAAATGCAGCAATGTTTTATCACCAAGCTGTGCCATTGAGACTGGAAATGCCTGAGTCAATGTTTTATGGCTGTTTAGTATCTGTAGTTTTACACCAATCATTATAAACATTACATTATGTGTCAGACAAAAACCTCAACAGAGGGTCAACTCATCAAAAATCACATTCTCACTACCCTCACGTACTTTCACATGTCACTGGCTGAATTTCGTGGAGGATCCTGAAGAAGACAGATTTGGCTTTTGTAGTTTTGAGAGCCCCGTACAGCACCCTCATCTGCTCCATACTGGTTGTGGCAGCCCGGATATTGGCATACATCTCCTCAAGGATAACACGCTGCTGGCGCATTATATCCGCTATCTGCATCACTGAAGTGACGTTCTGAATGAGGTGAGCGATGTTGTTGTCCACCCAGTTAGCTTCTTTATGAAGAGAAACAAATGATGGCACATGACATGTTCAGATTTTGGACACGGGCACCTAATTACAAGCATGCAGAAGAATGAATGGGCTCTGAAGCATGTACATGATTTTGTTGCAATTGGAATTTTATGATCAATTAAAATCAAGATCATGTTTTCTCCTCAAATTATTAACTTTCACTCACCTTTCTCCTCTGTGCTGACTGGAGCAGGATCATGTGTTTCAGAGCCGCAAGGACTAGCAAATAACAAAAACAGCTATGTTTTACAGAGTTAACAGTTAACAAGGCTTGTAACTATTAGTATTTTTATATTTGATTATATCTATCATATATAAATATAAAATATTATAATAATACTCATTTATACACAAAAATACTGTTTTAGTAAGAAAATGATCATGTCTCACCTTGCGGAGTTAACTTGAACGATGGGGTAACCACAACCCATTTTTTCAAAGGAGGTCCCTTCGTCTGGCCTCCTCAAAGTCTCCTCCTTTATTGCTCCCAACTCCTCCTGCAGGGATGATCTTTGAAGGGGAGGATCATTTTCTCCACTTTTCACTGTTGTGGAAACATCATTGTTCTTTTGCTCAGGTTTGTAACACTCCTTTTTCGATATTTTACCCCTCCTGAGTGCAGAGCATTGGTTCCCCATGGTATTTCTTCAGCGTCAACTATCTGTGATTTGGAGAGTATTTAAATGTAAACAAGTACAAGTAGTAGTTTTCTACAGGCACATGCACATGCACACATTAACCTTTGTTAAAAAGTGATGTTTAAATAAACTAGAAAAAAACAACTGTGCAGTGTAATAAGTCTTGTGAGATTTGAAACTGTGCAATGGCAGGGGCACTCCGACTGCAGATGTGTAACTAAAAATCCTAAGAACTTTTAGTTTCACATCTACAGTCGGAGTTCCCCGGGTTTTTTTCTGACTGCAATTGTACAGTTTCAACTCTACTGTTGATGTGAAACTAAAAATCCTTCCTTTATTAGTTACTAATAAAGGATTTTTAGTTTCACATCTACAATCGGAGTGCCCTGGATTTTTCCAAGCACCACCCTGGAACCACAGTTCCACAGTTTTATTTTTTACATTCTCTACAATACTTATTTGACCCTGTGCAGCACTCTCCCTGTTTTTCTTCATTAAAAGTGATGTTTGTTGGAGTGCCCCGATGGCTAATCTGGTGGAGCGCGTACCACTTAGGCTCAGTCCTTACCACAGTGGCCTGTGCTGGAATCCAGTCCAGGCCCTTTGCTGCAAGGCATCCTCTCTCTCTCCCCCAGCTTTTCTGTCTCTATCGCTATCAGATTAAAGACCAAAAAAATAACTGTAATGTTTGTTTGTTCTGTATTTTTTATTCTTCACAATCTAAAACTCCTCTTGATACTTTTGATTTAATCAAAACACTCACATTTAAGATATTCTGAACAGACTATTCATGCTTTTTATATCTATTTTCTCACACACACACACACACACACACACACACAAAAACGTTTTGTTTTACCTTTGTCTCTGAGGTCCTGTGTTAAGCCGCAGCAGTAATGAGACCATGTCGCATTTCGAATGCCTTTGGGTGTATTAACTTGTAATCGGAAAGAGAGCTTTCATTATAAACAGGAAGTACACATCTGGTAGGCGGACCGAGTTGAGAGAGAGTGTGCGTGTCCGTGTGTGTGTGTGTGTGTGTGTGTGGGGGGGGGGGGGGGCGGGGGGGGGGGGGGTTGGTGGGTGGAGAGAAAAAGAGGGACAAAAAAATCCTTCTACTGTGCACAGTTGAGGTCCATTCAGGCTGTATCATGCGTCTGACTTTTTGCATGAGAACTGATTCCAGATCAGCCCATTGTCTGATATGGGCAGAAATAAACATGATAACCTACATTAAAGCTGGGCAGCTGGCAGCCCTCTTTTGTTAATAATTATCCAGAAGTTCACTGAACTGGACTGCACTTTGGGGTTGGTCGGCTTTTTTATGATTCAGACGGCTCATACTGGTCTCAAAATAAAATGTAAACAATTCTCTATGACCTCAATAGAGGTCAACCTCTCACAAATGACCTGTGCCTATACAAGTAAATAATCTACTAATTTGCTAAATTTTTTTTGCAATGTCATAATCTGAAGATCTGTACCTTGCATTGTGCCAATTTGTGGAAAAAGTCAATTAATTACTTGAATCTACCAGCAATCTACTGCCTGCAAAATGTAGTTTAAGTGCAAGTTTATTTACATGTATTACACTACTCTCCAAAACTGTTAAACATTAACATATGAAATTTATTAGGTGAGGGGTGGAAGTGCAACACAAGTTTCATTTTGGTGTTCTTTTGCAATTCATAATCACAGTCACAGATTGGGGAGAGAGGGTAGCGACAACACCAGGGGCGATAAGTGAAGTGAGCTCACTGGGGTTAAAGTGACGCCCGCATCCTTTCTTGTTATTGGAGACTTAGTCATAATCAAATCCCCTAGTCCTTAAAGCAAATCATTTTACCAGTGCTACCTTTGCCATGACACCATCTGCTAGTTCGTCTTCAACAAATGCTGCACCACTGTTTACGATTAAACTCTGAGTATAGTATGTTTTCTTCTTTTATTCTTTTAACCAATCTCAGAATTTGAATAATTATTTAGCAGATAGGCGGCCATTCATTTTCATAAAACATGGTTGGAGAAGTGTAAATTAAAACTATTCATAAATTTCAAGAGTTTAAAAGGTACAAACTCAAATGACAAGTCAACCTGTGTTTTCAAGCACACATTTATGAAAGGTGTGATGTTCCATATACATCATCCATTTTAAAGGCGGGAAGGGACTGAAGAAGCAGGCCACCATTCTGCCAACACTTCACTTTGAAACTTTAAAGGGAGCATTTGCTCCTTAATCACTCTCTGTGCTCCACCTCAGCTTTTTCTATCCGGCTTCTCAGCTCCATCTTTTTTTTCATAGGCTCTCTCTCCTCTACTGTCAGCTCTAATTAGGCCACTGTGTGTGTCCGTATGTATGTGTCAGCGTGGATGTAGGTGCGTGATTTTAAGTTGTCTTGGGAGGCCCATCACTCCACTGTGATTCCCCACTTGGCCCCTCCGGTCGAGGGGAGACACATACACACAGACTATTGCTGATGCTAGGAGCAGACATTCATTGTGGGTCTAATGACTCCCTTAACAGTTACACTCCCACTCCTTCATACAAAGCATAATATCAAACTATGCCTGACCAGCAGCACAAGCACTAAAGCGGACCTTCTTTGAAACCCATAAGCCTAAATGGTGACAAATCTCGCCGTCTATGCACGCATCATACCCTTATTCTGGCCTGCGTGAGAGGAAATAACTCTGCAGTCATATGTACTTCAAAGAATAATGCACGGAAGACATATATAAGCCACTCCTGGGTAAGTACAGCTGTAATAAACACAAACATAACAAGAGGGACACACAGATTCAGTCAACTGAGGGAAAATAAAAACCTTTGTCCTTTCCAAGGGAAATGTGCCCTTGGCTGTGTCAATAGTCCTTTAAAGCTTTGTTTTGGTGATCATCTTAGTTGTTTATTGTTTCTATTGTGTTTTCTCCACAGTTTATGTGGGTCGATTGAAGTCTAGAGGCCTGTACTGCTGAGCGTGGCTACTTGTAATCAACAGCTCTGTCTCATTCACATCCTCATAACCGGACAGGAAAACACGGTTATGTCGGTTATTCAGTAAAGCCACGTAACCCAAAAAGAGCTGTAGACAAAGTTGAAATGACCTATAACTGTGGAGCTCCAGTGGATCAAGCAGAGAAGTTTGCCGGCCATGAAATCTCTGGATCTTCTGAAGTAGATCTCACTCAAACAAAATACCTGATCTGCAATTTAAAACAGGCATCTTTGTTTTCCTACTTGTGTTTTATCCTATGTTGTGCAACATTACACATTACAACTCATTAAGCACTGACTTTGTTCAATTGCGATATTCTCAAATGCATAATAAAATCACTGTTCTAATAAAATATGCTTAGTTTACATCATATGGCTGAAAAGTGAAAATATCACATATGAAAATGTGCATCAAATTGTTTGAACCTATCCAAGACTGGAATGAGCAATAAAACACATTTATCTTAGACTACAAACCTTACTCTCTGTGACAGTAAAATGGCTTACTGTGGAATACAATAGCTGTTGCCACAATTGACTGAGCACAGAAACTTCAATAAATTGAATTCTCTTACTAAAACCAAAATATGTACTTAACCATTTGTCATGACAGTACTGCTAGCAAAAAGATGGAGTAAGTCATTAACTCCAGATTAGAAGCATTCAACCATAAAAGCCTAATTATCCTTCTTTTCAAACACTTAAAATTCGCACAACACAGTGTATAAAATGGAAACTAACTTACACAACACTTACACAACAAAACGCAAAAATGGCCCTAAGAGGCTAACGTTAGCTTACGGAGGCACCGAGGTACTCCTGGCTCTCTGTGCAACTTCTGCCTGGAAACCGTCACTGGTATCTGTTAGTTTCTCGACTTAACTCACTGTTTGACTTCATTCTTACAGTTTCCTAACTTTTCATGCTGTCTTTCCTTCTCTCACACACACTTTCTCAGCCAAGAAATCACACTACAAAACTTTCCATCGATTTTAGCAGCTAAGAAATGCTATCTAATCAGGTAAATAAAATCATTATCTTAAAACTAAGTTAATATTTATTATTTATTTATTCTTTTAGCTCAATTATGTCTTTTTCTGCGAGATAACAGATTACGTTTTTTTGTTTTGTTTGTTTTTTCACAATGTTTATATGGTCTGAATATAATGAATATACACCCATTGTTTTACTGTGCATGCTTATTCAGTTCAGGGGAGTCTGGGACCAATTGTGTAGGCAACTGAACATATGGTCTGCCCATAGACTGTATGTGCAGTCTATGGGTTTGCATCAGACATTGACTTGGTGCAGTTTGTGCCGCTTGAGTGGTCTCCACCCAATAGCCTTGCAGTGAATTGACAACTGGTGCCTTATCAGCTGCAGCTAGCTTATCAAATGAACAGTTCAGTTGAAAACACAGTCCGCAACTGACGTTTTAAAGTTTCAGGCCAACTCCTTTTAAATAAGTAAGGTCCTGTTCAGTCATTGTTACTCTGTGTCTGCAGTGGAGCTTCACACTGTTTAATATTAAATTAATAAATAATCATAAAATGAGCCTTTTGGAAAGAGGAATGAGCAATAAATGCATAATGTATAGTGTCACATCACCTCTCCTGTCCGTCGTATCTGCATTTGCCTAAACTGGCAGTGTATTATAACCTTTTTATATACATATATATGATTGTAACTAGTCTGGACCAATACATTAACTGTTCCTATAGATCAGGGTGAATCACAAACAAATGCTGCAAGGAAAGACTACATTTATTGCTAGCTAATACAAAAGTAGTAGTAGTAGTAAAAATTTCCCACTGTGACCCTTCAGATGCTCTGTAACATTGCCGTGTCACTTTTCACCACAGTGTTGTTGTCACTGGTCCCTCACCTTTGAGTGAATCATACAATTTGGTCTCACAGTCTCCCCAGTTGTAACCGAGTGTGCCCCTGTGGTGCCAGATCCCTGAGGAAGAGCTCGAAGAGAATACAGCTGCCAGTTGGCGAGAAAGGTCTATCATGCAGGAAAAGGAAACATCTGGAGCAGCAAGAGTACAATCCTAATTTCTTTACTTATCTTAAATTCTTAGCACAAGAGGAGCAAAAAGAAATGTAAAGTTTGGCGTGAGGACAACGACAGAGAAAAAAGGCCATGGTGTTACCTGGAGGAATCCAACTGTGCTTCATCAGCCTTAACTGTATTGAACTGGAGAGGGAGTAAAGCCAGACCCAGCACAGAGGCGACACCTCCCTCTATTGGCGGCTTGTGGGAAGATCAATGTGCTAATTAAAAGGCAGTTCCGTCTTCACATACAGTAGTTGCTGCAGTTTAAGTTCACAAATCACAAAGCATCAGTTTTAAGACTGCATCTGACTAGAGTCACATTTCAACACAAAAACAGGCTTCACATCTGGTGTGAGTGCTGAAATGTTTAACAAATGAGAGCAAACATAATGTGAATATGGTGTCACACTGACATAACTGTCAGGTTGCCATTAGTCAAAGGGCATCTATGGAAGTTATTGAAATATTTGTCTGAGACACACTTCAAATTGTATATAAAGACATATATTAGTGTACATTATCCTCCATGAGATCTTTGAGGTTAGTTGTGTATGTGGCTTTATTTTGACCAGCAGTCAAATAAACCAAATTATTCAAGAAACTTTTCAAATTTCATGAAGCTGTAACATCCAACATTTGAGATTCTTACTCTGTAAATGACAAAAATAGAAGAAAAAACATACAGAAAATACATTTAAACAAAGTCAACTTTATTGGCTCATTAAAAAAAGTCCATATTATACTATACTATACTATACTATACTATACAACTTATATTATACAAACTTTTCGAATGATGTTGAAAGGTTTCCTTATGGCTTAACCAACTACTGCTTACTTAAACAATGTCATTACCAAACTTAAATTAAAACTCTTCTGCATCAAACAAAGAGCCTTAAACACAGCTTCCATTGGAACTGAAATCACTGCTGGAGGCCTGGCAGAAGCAGTAAATGTCCCATTTACATATGAGTGCAACTCCGTCCCGTTTCATTTTGCTTCAAAATATTTCTAATTGTGTCTATGTGACACTGCAACAAAATAATAAAAATTATTCTCCATGTTACCAACCTTGGGCATTTGAAAATAATGTTGTAATTACAAATAGACACTGAAAAAGTACAAACATGTGTGTTAAGAGTGAGTAAATCCCACTTGAGGTTAGTAGTTGTATCGTCTCTCCCAATATCCTCCTCCCAATTAGTGAGGTATGGCTGCAGTCACAACTTTACTATAGGGCCCATACCGGCCAAAAACGTCTTTGCCAACCACTGCGACACATACCTTGTGCCCGGGCTTGTACTTTGTGACCATCACACACATGGGCAGCTTGATGGCCTTCACTTCACCAAGCATATTCCAATTTGGGAAGACGCTGCTACCCTTACCCTTTTCCGTAGTCATGTAGACGCTACAGCAGGGGGGAGAGAGAGAAAAGGAATACATAAAAAGGACAGCTGTAGCGAAAGCTACAAACTGGCTGAACTCTGCTTCCATCGGGTGGTCATATGATGACATAAACAGTACAATATTCTCCTGACAGATGTGTGAAAAGGTAGAACTCCTGTGATAAACTTAGTTAAGAGTGGATGTTTGTCTCAGAAGCTGAGTGATTTTGGGAAAATATTAATCCAATTCCCATCAACAACATAAATACTAACTATGTTATATGATGCTTAATTTTTAATAAAGTTCTGTTTTGAAAAATAAACTGTAAAATTCGGGCACAAGGCTGCCAGATGTTATCATTGTCTGCCACAATGCTTGCATTAGACTGCGATAGCATCTGTAGTCTTGATAATGTTGCCATCTCAAACCATTTAACTCCTCTAGAGATAAAACGATCAGCTCATCAATTAGTTGATCAACAGAAAAATTATTGGCAATACTTTTGATCCACGATGTAATAGAAAAATCATATTCTGCACCTTGTGTGACCGGGGTTTGAACTTTGTATGACCTGGCTTTGTACAACCCTGGACATGAATCTGTCCTCACATGTATGCTCCTTATCTCAGTACTGTCAGGTACAAACTAAGGAGTAGCTTGTCCTTGAACGCGCAGCTGCTTCCTCTTGGCGGTTGGACAGTTTTGATAGTGCCCAGAATTGTTCACACACACACACATCCTGACCCTGCCTCCTTTCCTTTCTCTATAAAGTTAATGTACACTTTTTGTTCGATATCAGTCTGCAATTGCACTCTGTTGTGACTGTACACTGATGTTTGATGTATTGTACCATGGCCGATATGATACTGATTCGATTTGTTTCTTCTTTTTTCCCTTGTCTTTACATAAAGTCTGAGTGTATCAGACAGAGGCAGTTTGGACTGCATGATGATACACTGGCTGTGGGATATTGAATGGGCAGCAACCTGCCTTTTAAAACACACTATCACTTGCCCTGTGCTGCTTCTCACCTGTAACTATCCATGGGCGGGGCAGAGGGGTCTTCCTCCTCTACTTTCCAGAGCACAGAGAGGCCAGCAGGCTCCCGGATGAGGGCCAGATGTACTTCTGGTCTCTGGGGGATGTTATATGAGGCCGCTTCCATGTTCAGGACGGAGGGGAATGTAGTGGAGGGAAGAGGCGGATGCAAGAGCTTGACCTTGTTGTAAGAAAAGAGGGCAGGAGTGGAGGTAATGTGAGCAAACAGTCAAGCAGATTACTAATGTGGGTTGCCGTGAGCTTGTCTATTACCTGCTCTGAGTCTGTGTGCTTGGGAATGTTACGATCACCAGGAGAGAGACATTCTACTTTCACATCCTTGCACTCCTCAATATTGTTTTCTTTATGCTGCTCATCGTCCGTGACATGTCCCTGAATTACACATACCATAAAGAAAGAGGAGCAAATGAAGGCAAGACAAAAAAAACAGTCACAAACAATGAAAAACACACTGAAAACAAATGTGATGTAAGATTTTATGTAAAGTAAATGATTTTTTCACTTGCTTGAGTAGCTTGTCATTAGTTACACATAACATATTTATGCGTGGTATGTTTTGAAATTAATATATCTAATGATGACGCATCCTACCTTGCTCTCAGAGGCACCATAAGGAGTGAGAACTGGAGATGACTTCTCTTTTAAATCTGCTATGGCAGCCGTCAAAGCTTAACACGGATTATGTACAATCACAAGTAGCAGAAGAAGAGACAGGAGACAGTGGGAAAAAAGGATGTAGTTATTTATGTACTAACTGACTCATATTATTGAATTTGAGTTGTTATAATAGCTCATCGTGTCAGTTTTTCTCACTGCATGGAGAAATAACATTGAAGGAAGCTATTTATTTAAGGCTTGAGCCTGTATGAAATCATCTTACCGTCATTATCTGCACGCATCTTCTTTAGTGACTTTTTTGTGGTTTCCTGGAGAGAAAGGACCGATCAACTCAAACCTCCATTTTCACAGTTTTTAAGTTATTGAAAACAGTGTAATTCACTATATTAATTACGCATTTTGACTTTAATCCTTTCCTCTATGTATATGGTAGAATTCTTGATCTCAAAGTCCCAACTCAAGCTGAATAATTATTGTCCAAATTAAAATTAACACTGGCCTATGTGAAAATTGTTCTTTGCTGGATAAAGCAAGGATAAAATACAACTTAATTATTAATAATTTAATACATTTCCATGTTTACATTACATTTCAACATTATTTTACTAATTTTAAGAATCAAAAACTAGATATGTACCATCATTTGAAAGAGCTCTCCCTTCTTGTCCATGCAATCCACGCTCTTTTTGTCGACTGAAAAGTAAAATTGGATTGAATTTATACACATGTTCAACCAATGGCAAATATTCACTGTTGCGCACATGGTTGCTAGGCTCTTACTCTTTGACATGGTTTCCATCATTTCACCCTCAGACTCTGTCCTGCAGAGTTGGACAACAAATCAAACTGTCTCAAAATTGATTAAATCCAAAGAAATGCAAAGTACAATTTGACATCAAGGGCTTTCATAATTCTCACAGAGGAGTAATATTACCAATCTGGTTCTACATACCTGCTTATGTTGTTGTTAGCAAGTGACGGATGTGGACTCTGAAAAGGTTAACATTTAGAGTGTATGAATCTGTGCTCTGTGTGTGGGCAGTGTTTACATCTCAAATTATACCAGATCATTATATTAAGAAATTATATCATTACTTAAAAATTTAACTGCATTGGTATATTATGGCTTTGACACTGAACATGCATGTCAGTCCATACACAATATATCTGTCTGTCTGCATCAAACCTTTTTCTGTGTCTTTGTCATGTAGGCAAGAGCGGCTTCTGCTCTCTTTGAGACCGTGTTGATTCGAGCCTGAGGGAGAGAGGAGCATTCTGTAAAGATTTGTTGGGTCTGAGGTATTTTTTAGCACCACTTTGGCTTTGAAACATACACACAATACATTCATATTTGGGTCTTTTGGTTTTACTAGATAAGAAATGTCAACATAACCAAAAACATTGAGATATGGGTGAATATGAGATCCAGGTGGATATAATCAAATGAAGAAAAAAACAGAAAGACACATGAACAATGGGTGAAGCTTGACAGATGAAGACAGGATTTGCCAGTAGCTGTCAAAATTCAGGAAGGGTCTAAGCAGAGAAATAAGAAAAAAGGCAAGAGACTTATTTTAAAATGGATTGGAGAAATTAAAAGGGGAAAAAAATGAAGTCAGATCAAAGAAGAAGGAAGGGAACAAAATGAACAAACAAAGAAAAGTGGTAAGTCACATTACCAAAACAAAGAGGTAAAAATGTGAACCAGCACTTCCACCGACCTCCAGTTTTTGGATTGAGCTTTCATAGTTGTATCCATTATCCAGCTTTTCAATAGTTTCTATCAAACCCTCGAGCCTGATTTCATTCTTCTTCACTGCACTGCGAACCTCCTGCTTGATCAGTGTCTGGAGCTGTGGACACACGTACACGGTAGAGCTTCTTTCATTCACTTCAGATGTATATGCATTTGCAAATGTAACCATGCACAGAAAAAGAGTACATTTGACAATGACAGTTTGCTGTGTTTTCTCTTACTTCAGACTGGGAGATTTTTATCTTTTTATCACTGGCTCCAGATGAAGTTGCCATGGAGGGCAATCTCTTCATTCTTCATGCAAAATGCATACAGACAAACAAACGCAAAGACAGAATGTCAAGATTCACCAGGTATCCAATTGGTAATGTTTGCCGCGCCACCATAACTCTTTAAAGACACTTACATCTATTATATGTGGCAAAATAAGAGATTAACATGTTACAACTGAAGCATCCATCTTTTTACTCCAGGACTATCACACTCATACGCAGTCATACACCGATGGAACAGCCATCAGGGGCAATGTGGGGTTCAGTATCTTGCCCAAGGACACTTGGGCAAGATACTGACACTTTGACATGCGGCCTGGAGGAGATGAGGATCGAACTACCGACCTTCTAATTAGTGGACGACCCGCTCCCCCTCCTGAGCCACAGCCGCCCCACAAAGTGCATAATAATTAAGCCAAACAGCTGCATCAATAGCCTCTAGGTTCATTTTTACATTGCAGAACAATGTAAGGGCAGGATTAACCAGACAGCAAAACAATTCTATTTCTATTTATTGTCCTTGGTCGACTCCAGCCCCAACTTATTCCATCTGTCTACACCTTCCCCAGGTGTAGACAGCATAAAAATCAATTTGGGTAACCAGGCACTTTTTTCCTCCCCTTAAAACAACAACAAAAAAAAACTTAACAGGGATGACGAAACATAGTAGGAGATCCTCTCACATCCATCTTTTGTGCGAATCGAAAATCATTTGCTTGACTGGCCCAGCTAGCAACAAAATTAGCAGCAGGGCATGCTGAAGCTAGACAAACAAAATATCTGTGTGTGTGTGTGTGTGTGTGTGTGTGTGTGTGTGTGTGTGTGTGTGTGTAGATTATATTATTAGTCGAGCTGCAAGTCAGTCTGCCAAAGCTACAAGCAGCTTTGGCAAGATAGAAGCATTTATGAAGCTGTTCTGCAATTATGTAGCCGCTGGAGGTTAACTCACACATCCAGAAGACTCAAGGCCACTTCTGCATCAGATTTCAATCCTTTTACTTCTTTCAGTGCACGCCACCTATTAAATGCCATTCCAATGTTCACTCGAGCTCTCACCCTTGATCTGCATGTTACCTTCTGAGGCAAAGGTTTGCGTTTCTTGGGTCTTGTGGAATCGTTTACTCTGTCTTGAGCTGGTGTTTTAAAGCCTCTGCGACCTTCAGTTTCATCTTGACACCCTGCCATTTTTCACAAACCCTGAAGTACACTGTCAAGACAGAAGCTGCATGCAGATGGTTTTGTAGGGTGGGAGGATCATCAGAGAATGTACAAGGTGAGGGAGGCGGCTGATGCTGTCACCAACGACCTGAAGTTGTCATGAAACCTGGCAACAACAACAGCCTTTGTTAATTTGGTCTCACTCCTATTACTTGACTCTGGACTGGGTAAACCTAATATACAATATAATCCTATTACAATATAACACATTACAACAATGTCATATTCCACATAATGATATATTGTATGACAGTCCCCTACTATACAGATATCTCTGTAACAGACAAGGTAAGCAACCTCTGAAATGGAAAGAAAATGACAGAAATTTGAGAACAGTTATGTTCTAAATGTACTTACTGCAGTTGGAAGTTGTTTTATTTAGTTTAACAGGAATGAGTGACAAACAGTTTTAAGTTTTAGCTTTTTGTACCAACAGCAATATTAAAACATCAGTTATATACTTGTCAGAGGCTAGAAAATGCAATAGTTCAGAATTAAAGTGACGGAAGTAAGGGAATTATTCATTTTTACCCCAGAACCACACAAGAAGCTATTGTGACACAATGATGTCACAGAATCAATGACGCCACACGGTTCTCGAGTCTCGATATGTTGCTATATTGGTTATTAGTCCTACTTCTGTTATCTATGTTCCTTCTTTGCTGGCCTTTGTCGGTGCTGTGACAAAGTCCTTAACTTATTTTCAAACCTCCATATCAACATAAACACAGAAAACAGAAAAATGTACAATTAAAACAGTTAAAGAGCAACTTAAAAGCTTTACTGTCCGATTCATCAGACAAAAAGAAACAATGTTTTCTTTGCAGTCTACACTATAGCCAATTTAATATGTTCTCTCAGATATTACTAGATAATATAATGTTGCGCACACGGGCTTGTGAATACGAAAACAAAAATCAAGACCATCAGTGGCAAAGTGTTTCGTTAGAGCAAAAAGCTAGCCAGCATATAAGCTAACTGCTAAAGGGACTAGCTAACTTTTAGCTGGAGCTTTTACAATTGGCTAGGAAATAACTAACAAATAAGATAATTAACGTTAACGAACAAGAGAGGCAGCTATCATAAGAGAGAGGGTTAAAGTGAAATCAAAGTATCATTTATAATGCAAATACCTCAACAATCAACAGGGAGCCTTTGCTTGCTTTGGCAGGAAGTTGTATTCTGGTGTCGTGTCCGTTCCACTTCCGCCTATTTTACACGATTAATACTTTAGGCTAAATTCCTTCAGAATAAAAGCCCAATTTCCATAAAGGCAAATTAAATAAAAATTTAATGTTTTGCACAAATAGTGCACACGTTTTATGTCAAAATAATAGCAGTAATACTGTATCCTCACAGTATCATTTTTGTCTCAGAATCAATGATACCACGAGGCTGCAGTCACTAGGTCTCATTACAAAGAGTGTAATTCATATGAATGTGAGCTAGACTGTTTCCTGTGCTGGATTATTTGAGTGTATGAAAGTTCAAAATGTTATATGTGATATGATATTTTGGCGTTAAGAGGGTGAGATATGATGATCTTTTCTGGAGAAAAGTGGAGGTAAGGAGAAGAGGGTAAGCAGGCACACCAGTGTATAATGACTATAGATGGATACCTGACTCAGTGACAGATTTGGCACAAACAAAGAAATTTTATTCATTGTAAAATACATTTATTGAGATCTACATCTGATGGGTGGGGAACACGGCAAGAAAAATAAGCACCAATAAATATTTTGCAGGGGAGATGAGTCTTTGTTCCTGAATCTGCTGGTAGTTTGCCCAATCTGTGGTTCTGAGATTAGAGCAGCAGGATTCACCAAGCAGAAACTGCTCATTCTTTGCAGGAGTGACCAGCAGAAGCTTGCAGGAGTCTATTCTGTAGCCTGAAGCTATAAAAATAACAGCTACACGTGGTGTAGTTTTCTGTCAGTCCACTGGGTGTCAATAGCAGACAAACATTTCAGTTGGAAGACATGAAGACAGTCATTTCGTACAGATTGTAGAAGCTGCCACTGATGCTGCAACAGAGGCCAAAATAAATAGCATGCTGTAATTGAATTTGCCTAAAAGAGTAAAAGCAAAGGAGTCTGTAACAAGCAGAAACACTCCCGTTTGCCATGACATATAAGCCTGTGTCAGATCTCACAAAAAAACTTTTGGATGAATCCTATGCCCTAAAGCAAACTTTCAACATGTCTCCACTGTAAAACAACATGAGATTCTCAATCAATGTGTAATTAATACTTCATTTGAAAGCATTTGAAATATTTTAACTGCAAAAAATGTTTTTAAAAAATCCCCATAAATACAATTTTGGCTTCAACAAGCTGTATAATTATTTGTCAGTATGGCCGTCTGGTTATTTGTATAGATCAACATTGACTAAGATACAGTTCATCTGCATTGACATAAAACACACTACAGGAAAATAAGCACAACAATAACAAAACATTTCCAACTCTAAATCAAGAGTAGCTCTAATAAGTCAACTCTTAAGACAGATAGCTGTGATTTCTGTTGAATATCTGCAACAGAGCATGCACAGAATTCATGTTCAAGTTCTTGGTTTATTCATTATATAGAATGTTTTTGAGAACATCAAAGTCGAATGAATCCAAATTTTACATAATCTATAATAAACTGTATTTCACAAAAAAAAAAAAACATCTCCTTCTCCAGCCTATGGAACTTCAACAACTTACTTTTCATCTCAAGTTAAAGGGACTCGCTGAAGGACAAAAACTTCATGCAAACAGGAGGCTTATTATTTAGTGAAACACTTTTAAGATAACAACTTCACAAAAACAACAAACAAGAACAACAAACATAACAATCTCAATCAAGTATCATCTTGAGATAGCAGAGCAAATTCTTCATTTCCCTTCCCTGAATCTTCATTTTTGACGAGCTGGTATGTTACCAGGCTCTGTGGTCCAAAGTCTGTCCAACATGGACACATTTCTATCACTTAACAACCCAGTGCTTGTTTCCTTTGTTTCAGGTCCTAGCAGCTACCATATTAATACCCCGCTGGTCTCCCTTAACTGTGTCACCCCAAAACCAACACCAAGAAAAAAGAAAGTGAAACCAGTTTATGCAGGTCTAATGTGGAATCAAACATTATCTCTATGAATGCTGTGGCCACAAGTAATTCTTGGAATTGGTGGCATGTACAACACAGTAATGAATTTATTGTCATTAAATGTAATACGTCTATATGGGTGTTGGAAATGTATGAGTTATGGACCAAATAAACAGTAGCTTGGCCAGAGAGGGAAGACTGAATTATTTCATACACACTCAGTCACATGCTAAAATAAACAACAGTGGTTTTAAACAATAAATAGTGTTTGTCTTTTTTCAGTGAAGCTGTGAACAAAAAAGGCACAATAATAACAAAGAAATGTTCATTCTTACTTCAAGTTTGCATGTTTCTGTTTTGTCATTTTAAATCCCAAATATCACAGCACATCATTGGTTCCTTTTTCACCAATAAAATACGAGTCAGTAACATAAGAATACAAACAACAGGTTAAAATCCTACATATTATACCTCACCTACTGCTTCACTACACTTCCTATATACTATGGTTAACATAAGATTCTCTGTTTTTCTCGTACAGTGGGGTCCAAAAGTCTGAGATGTGGTCTCACACTTTCGGACCCCACTGTAGTTCAGTCTTAGAAATAAGTTTTTGGCAATTACCTGAACTATACATACACAGCAAATATGTACAAAATAAATTCTGTTGACTAAAGTTTCACAAAAAACGAATGGACCCTTTGGAAAGTCCAGGGGCTGTGTCCCAGTGAGGCAAACCTCCCCACTTTTCTTCTTCAACCTTTATCCTTTGTGATTAGATATTTTACACAAGCTCCTATGAATGGTGTGGGAGGGGAATCAGTACACAATGAGACAAGAGATAAATCAATGTGTTGGCTAGGGGGAGGAGAGGGAAGAGGACAGTCAGAGTATGTTCTCACCAAAAGCAATCTCAGCTGGACCACCAGAGTCTCAGCTGGCCATGTCATGTATGTTCTATGCAGAGCAATAAGTGAATGAGCGCATTTGCATGGAGTGCATGTTCTCAGCTTTATGCAAATGAACCTATTAAGCGCTGTGTATCTAGCTGGCAAAAGTCAGCTGACACCTTTCAAACCAGGCATTGCAAATCAAATGTGAATCATGGTGTAATTCTCGCCTTAAATGTTTACAGAAAAATATTTGAGTTGCTGTCATGCATGAAAAAAGGGAAAACATAGACAGTGGGTCTGTCAGCCATGTTTCTGAGGCACTTGTTTGGAACAAATATATAGCCCATAATGAACACACTGGCAGTCTGGGGAGTCCTAACGCATCCTTACCACATTTGGTGAGAACAATGTACCATCAGGAAGGAGAAGGGTGTGTGATTATTTGGGGTTTTGAGTTTGTAAGGTGGACAAAGTGTGTCTGGCTCTGAACACGAGACTTTAAGTTAAATGGATTTGACATTTCTGGGATATTTCCTGATCTCCAATGGTATTATGAAATCTAAGGGTTAGAAAGAGCATGTGCGTAGGTATGTTTGTTGAGGAAAAGTGTATGTCTTTATGCATTTTTGTCCAAGTGTTCCTATTTATACATTTGCATATTTGCGAGCTTTTGCATCAAGCCTGTCACATCTATTTGCGCTTCCTGAGCACCAGGTACATGAGGCCGCTGATGAGAGTCATGGGGAAGCAGATCCAGGCCAGGACATAAGAAGAGCCGTAGGAGCCTTCCTGAAGACTTGGCACATGAAAGCTGTTTTTCTGAGCCGTGTAAATGGACGCTGCGACCATCACACATAGAGCTGGGAGAAGGAGAGAGGAGGAGGAGGATGGAAATTACGCTCAGTAGTTGACAATCATTCAAAGTCTGAATGTTCTGTTATGTCTCCTGCAGCTAGTTGGGGCCCCTTTGACATTTTGGGAAACACATCTATTTGATTTCTTACAGAGAGTTTGATGACAAGATCAATATCACTGTCAAAACTTCCTCAGAAATGTGTGGACATAAATCTTGCCACAATTTGGACACTGCAAGGATTATCATTCATTTACACCATGTTCCATAGCATAACAGAAACAACAACTCAATAATAATTTAAACTTTAAATACAATGGCAAAAGCTGCATTGAAAAGTTTAATGTGTGTGTGTGTGTGTGTGTGTGTGTGTGTGTGTGTGTGTCACTCACAGGCCAATAGCTGGATAACAGCGGTGAAAACAAATCTCTCTCCCTGTTTGATCCTGAAGAGCTGAAGGATGAAGACGAAGAAGCTGACGCAACATAAGATGGAGGCCAGGATCATAGTGGCCTGGACCGCCTGCAGGTAGGCTGAGGAGAAAGCGGACAAGATGCGTTACATGCAGAAACACAAACTTACACACACACATAGGCTTAATAGAGCTGTCTTACCTGCATCAGCGGTATGGCTGTTCTCCACAGGGAAGCATGTGACGTTACAGGAGTACCACAGGTCAGTGTAGATCATGTCACGTCCAGGTGGTGACACCACCCACCACGCCTACAACAGGGAGGGACAAGAGATAGTAAAAACAATGAAAATGCCCAATGCTGCCATGCAGATGTATGTGCACTCTTGCTTTATACTCACATTGTGAATAGTTGAAACAAAGAGCAGGATGGCTGTAGCCAGATGGAAGAGGACAATGAAGGCTAAGATGATCAACATGGCTGCCTGTCTGTTTGGCTAACTTGTCTGCTGCTTGTTGCCCGTTGCTCAGGCCAGTTAGATGTCTCGCAGGCTGCTTCAGCGGATGTACGTATCTCTCACTGGCTGATTGTGTGGAATGTAAGTTTCAGCTTTTGGTGGGTGGTGGTTCTGCTCACTGACAGTTTCTATGTGTTTATGCTGGTTGGCAGACAGGCTGGTTTGCAGGTTGATAGTCAGGGGTGGATCAAAGTCTCTCACATGAAAGGAGTCTGTTGGAAGCAACATACATGTAACACTTTAATAATACACACAAGCAATGCTGACACAAGCTGAATGCCTTGTTTGCCGTCACGTTATATTAAGCATGCGGGTACAACTATTGCAGATGTCCTACTTACTAAATGTGACTCATGAGACCCACAACTCATGAGACACTGCAGAAAGAATATTCATATTTATCAAAATCACTTT